GCCCCATCTGCAGAGTTTTGGACTTTTAAGTATGTGACTTAAAGATCCTAAAGATAGGATTTCTGGTGGTCACAAGACTGTGAACTCTTAACTAGAGTCTAGGTTTGTTTTGAAATAATCTGGTCCATGCTTGAATAAGTAAAATGATGCATGATCTAAGAGAGTGATTGGTTCAAGGAGTATGCCTCATCGATTTTTAAACTGAAAATACAGGGCAAGGGGCAAAGTATGACCAAGTAATGTTCTGTTTCTGTGTTTTTGTTTTTTTTTTTTTTTTAAGGGAGAAGGGGTGTGTGTTTCTTTTTTTTGAGATGGAGTCTCGCTCTGTAGCCAGGCTGGAGTGCAGTGGCGCGATCTCGGATCACTGCAACCCCTGCCTCCCAGGTTCAAGCAATTCTCCTGCCTCAGCCTCCCGAGTAGCTGGAACTACAAGTGTGCGCCACCACGCCCAGCTAATTTTTGTATTTTTAATAGAGACGGGGTTTCACCATGTTGCCAGGATGGTCTCGATCTCCTGACCTCGTGATCCACCCGCCTTGGCCTCCCAAAGTGCTGGGATTACAGGCATGAGCCACCATGCCCAGCCTGTCGTCTCTGTTTTTTTTGTTGTTTTTTTTTTTAAGACAGGGTCTTGCTCTGTCACCCAGGCTAGAGTGCAATGGCACAATCATGGCTCACTGCAGCTTCAACCTCCTGGGCTGAAGCAGTCCACCTCAGCCTCCCAAGTACAGGTGCATGCCACCATGCCTGGCTAGTTTTTAACTTTTTTGTGGAGATGATCTTGCTATATTGCCCAGGCTAGTCCTGAACTCTTGGCTTCAAGCAATCCTCCTGCCTCAGCCTCCGAAAGTGCTGAGATTACAGGCATGAGCCACTGCACCTAGTCTGTATTTTTTTTTAATCTCCTTTCAGAACAGTATAGTAAATGTATCCTTTTCTAAATATGGGTTATTCATGGCCTATTGTAAATCCTAAGCTGGCTTCTGACAGGCAACTTCCCAATAGGATCTTAGCTTGGCTCCCCTCCTCTCCAGTCCTAGTATGTGCAGGAAATACAAACTTATTTAAATAGTAGTTTACATTAAATATAATTTTAAAAGTAAATCACCTGTGTGAGTGAAGCATTTTCTTAAACAAGATATGTTTCCTTAGATCCCATGCATTAGCCTGGTTGTATTGGAAGTCAAGCAGTAAATGGAATTTAAGCACCTTAGAGATATATATATGTACACATACACACACATTTGAGACAGGTTCAAACTCCTGTGCTCAGGTGATCCTCCCGCCTCAGCCTCCTGAGTAGCTGATATTACAGGCACATGCAGCTGCAACCAGCTTCCTTATTATTGGCCTGCCCTCTTCACTGTAAAAACCAGAAAACATCACAATGTCCTAGATTTTGTGAAAAATGTCTTTTGTGTCTCTCGACTGGATCACGCTTCATGATCCTTGAGACCTCCACGTTCTGGTGGAGGAGGGAAGCCTGAACTTTAAAAGGCCACGTGGCTAAGTGGCTTCCCTGAGGCCTGCCTCTCCTGGGAAGGCATTCCCTACCCCAGATCCTGCAGCCTTTCATCCCACAGCCATTACACTCTCCAGGTGCACCCGCATCAAAGCACAGGTACCGGGCTCCTGATCTGGACTTATCTGAATTGCATGTTCCCCGAGGGCGCTGTTTGATGTGCTTGATTGTGGAATGAAAGCCAAATAAAGGAATGAGAGGGCCTGTTTATTTCCTCATTTTTAGTGCTTTTCCTCAGGGCCCTTCTACGTCTAGAGAAGGAATTTATGAAAAAGCCTGGGATACCACCTAAGCAGCGTCTATTTACAATTACATTAACTCTGGCATCCATGAGCCATTGGCCTCAGGCAGAGGAGTCTGTGTCCCTAAAGAGCTGTATGGCTAGCCAGCTCAGTGGCTCATGCCTAAAATATCAGCACTTTGAGAGACTGGGATGGGAGGATCACTTGAGCCTAGGAGCTCAAGACCAACCTGGGCAACATAGACCTTATCTCTAAAAAAAAAAATTGCCTGGCATGGTAGCATGCACCTGCAATCCCAGCTACTCAGGAGCCTAAAGCAGGAGGATCATTTGAGCCCAGGAATTTGAGGCTGCAGCGAGCTATGACCACGCTACTCCCACCTGGGTGGCAAAGTGAAAGCCCATCTCTGATGGAAAGATAGCTCTATGGTGGAGGAAGGCGATGCCACCCTGACCTCACACTTTCTCAGCTGTGTCATCAGCATCCTCTCTTCCTGGAGGAGGGTGACAGGGCCATTGCAGTTCTGAGTTGCTCTGACAGCCCACTGCTTCTCAGTAGAGTGGCCAAGACTGGGAATTTGGAAGGCACCCTAGTCATAACATAGGTGGCCTCCCCCACCTCCCCCTTTTTTCTTTTTGAGACAGAGTCACACTCTGTCACACAAACTGGAGTGCTATGGTGTGATCTTGGCTCACTGCAACCTCCGCCTCCCAGGCTCAAGAGATTTTCCTGCCTCAGCCTCCTGAGTAGCTGGGACTACAGGCATGTGCCACCACATCCAGCTGATTTTCTGTATTTTTAGTAGAGACAGGGTTTCTCCATGTTGGCCAGGCTGGTCTGAAACTCCTGACCTCAGGTGATCCACCCGCCTCAGCTTCCCAAAGTGCTGTGCTGGGATTACAGGCATAAGCCACTGTACCTGGGCATCCTCCCACCCACCCCCGCTTTTTTTTTTTTTTTTTTTAATAGATGGGGAAACTAAGGCTGAAAGGGATTCAGTGACTTGTCCACTGTTAGCAGCATGCCAGTGGCAGGGGCAGGAATAGCTCCCAGGATTTACTCCTGACTCCTAGTCTAGCAATTTGGTGATGAAACGGTGTGGTGGACAAATCGGCAGAGACTTTAAATGCATTGAACCTCCCTTCAAAAAAGAAGAGTCCCCTGCAAGACAAGGACAGATTGTCCAGGGTGCCAGAACTTCTTAAACTGCCAAGGAATTTGCAGTATACTGAAGATTTTACTGAAGTGCTTTTGGTACTGTTTGGAAGCCATTGGTTTGTTGTAAAAGCTATGGAGTGGGACTGCCCTCTAGTGGGCCAGTGGAGCCATTTGTTTAGCTGTGTTCTCGGCAACATTGCATTCTCACCCCATGTCAATGTAGATTGATTATTCCTATTGAAAGGAATTTCAATTTTATTTCTCAAGCACTCTGGCCGATAGTAACTCTATTGATCTCTAAGCACTAGCTATCATTTGCCTATCTTATAGAAGGCTGGTTTTGCCCTCTATACATACACACATTAGAAGTGTCTTACTTCCCTAACAAGATTCAGGCTCCTGAAAGCCAGGGTGGGTATGTATGTATGTATCTATGTATTTTGTGGAGACAGGATCTCACTCTGTCACCCAGGCTAGAATGAAGTGGCACAATCACAACTCAGCCGCTACCTCTTGGGCTCAATCAAACCTCTTGCTTCAGCCTCCCGAGTAGCTGAGACTACAGGCGTGCCCTGCCACACCCTGCTAATTTTTTAGAGATTGGGTCTCGCTATGTTGCCTAGACTGGTCTCGAACTCCAGCCAGGCTATATCTTAAGTTTTGTTTTTCCATAGCTTCTACCTTGCTGTCCCCTTATCTGGACATGGAATTAGAAGGTTCTTTGGGATGGAAAGGAATCTTCCCCCAACCTCCCCCAAAAAGAATCCCATCACTTCTCATTTGTTCCTAAAACATTCTAATCTCATCTCTGACCAGTAGTTCCCCAAGTGGTTGAATCATCTGAATCCCCCGGAAAGCATACAGAACTCAGTTTCCTGGGCCTGACTCCAGCCCTGCTCAATCAGTCTCTGTGGTTTGAGCCAGGAAATCTGCTTTACAAACTTCCCAAGTGGCTTTTGATGTGTATCCAGGTCTGGCAGCCAACTGCTTCAAAACCCCATTTATAATTATTTTTCACAGCTCCCACCACAGACAGTGTCTCCAGAGGTCTTCAGCTTGTGTCACTTATTAAAATTAACCATTTTGAGACTCATTCAGAAATATTTAATATATTCTTCTAACTGGGTGACAGGGGAAGGAAGAAGGAACCACATAAGATGGGCCAAAGGCATTTGCTTTGGTTGTCAGTGGCTCTGAAACAGGAAATACTGAAACCAATACCTCTATACTGACTGGGCAGGTTGTTGATGTGTAGGTTTTCAGTATTTGGGCTGGATAGGAATACAAAAGTTTGTTAAGTAATCAATTTCAATTATGTATTTTCTCCTATTCTTTTTTTTTTTTTTTTTTTTGAGACAGAGTCTCACTCTGTCACCCAGGCTAGAGTGCAGTGGCACCGTCTGGGCTCACTGCAACCTCCACCTCTTGGGTTCAAGCAATTCTCCTGCCTCAACCTCCCAAGTAGCTGGGACTACAGGCATGCACCACCACACCCTGCTAACTTTTGTATTTTTAATAGAGACAGGGTTTCGCCATGTTGGCCAGGCTGTTCTTGAACTCCTGACCTCATGATCTGCCTGCCTCAGCCTCCCAAAGTGCTGGGATTACAGGTGTGAGCCACTGCACCCAGCCATATTTTCCCCTATTCCAAGTCATCTGACCTCACAAATACCATACAAGATAGGTGAAATTGTCCTCTTTGAAAAAAAAAAGTTTTTAAATCAACATAATAATTTTATATATTCATGGGATACATAGTGATATTTCAATAAATACAAGGTATAGTGATCAGATCAGGGGAATTAGCATATCCATTATCTCAAATATTTATCATTTCTTTGTGTTGGAAATGTCCTCCTTTTAGCTATTTGAAACTATATACTATTGTTAACTCTAGTCATCAGTCCCCTTCTTTATAGATGGGAAAATTGAGGGTTAGGAAAGTGAGGTAACATGCCTGAAGTCACATAAGTTGGTAACTGTCAGATTCTGCATTTGATTACAGGCCTGATAGCCAAGGCCAGCTTTGGAAAGGTAAGAGGACCAGAGGGCCAACCTGCTCTTTTTTACTCTGGCAGGCCAAGCGAGCAGTACAGCGGGGAGCCACTGCAGTCATCTTTGATGTGTCTGAAAACCCAGAAGCTATTGACCAGGTAAACTCCTCAGGCCATGCCAGTGCTGCAGCCTCCCTGAGAAAAGCACCTTCCTTTAGTGAGCTCAGCTTGTCCTGGTCATGTCACTCTCATCTCAGGGCGTTTGCTCTTGTCTTCTGAAGTTAGATGTCCACATTTGGACATAATCTCCAAGGGAGATGTACTGGGAGAGGTTAAGAGCCAGGGATTGGGGCACAGGGGACATTTTCTAAGACCTTTCTGGGCCTTCTGCTTGCCCAGTTCATCCCAAAACAAGCATCATTCTCAGCCTTGCTCCTCTGGGAGCTCCAAGGCTGTAATGTTCGAAGAGTTGGAGGATTCCAGACAGGTATTCAGTGTTCCCTCCCTGTAGCCTTTCCTTCTCTCTACTGCTTTTCAAAGTAAGCACACCTTTTAACCAGGGCCCTCTCTTCTTCCTTAGCTGAACCAGGGCTCGGAAGACCCGCTCAAGAGGCCAGTGGTGTACGTGAAGGGTGCAGATGCCATTAAGCTGATGAACATCGTCAACAAGCAGAAAGTAGCTCGAGCAAGGATCCAGCACCGCCCACCTCGAGTGAGCCTCTACACTGTTTGACCCACGCTTGGGGGCTTCTCTGCTACTACCTGTCTCTTTATTTCCCTTGGGCTCTGGACTTTAATTCCTTTCTCTGTCTAAAATGCTGGCATACCCCCAGGTTCCTGGAGGTTTAGATCAGCTATTGGACTCAAGGCCAGGGAGAAATTTTACTCATGGTCCTTTAGAGCAAATTTGAAAAATCCTACCAGAAATAGATGCTTTTGTACTAAGATGTCTCTGGCCTATTCCACTTGACATTCCCTCTTGGCGATCTCTCATCTTTTCTTTTCCATCCCATCTCCCTCTGAAAGGCAAACTGAGGAGGATTGAAGGGATGGGGCACCCAGCACTTGGCCTCCTTTGTCTTTGTACTTCCGTCTGACTTAGACACTAGAGAAGGAAGTACTTCCTTCTTCCTGTAGAATAGTTTACCTTATTGAAACAACCCAAGTTAATTTGAGTGTGGAAAAGTTAGCTTTCAACTGGGATTGAGTTTGACGGCTAACGAATAGCATCTGCATCTCTTAAGTGTGTGGAGGAGACACTACTGGCCACCAACTCTTAACGGGCCTCTTTTGCTCAAACCTCAAGCTGAAGAATTCCAGGAACCTTGGGCTGGTGCCCTGTATTGGTATTATTTCCTCCTCACCAATACTGGGACATTCCCATGTAGGATGATTCTTTCCCATGCACGACATATCCAGATACATGCAGCATCGACTCCGCAAAGCTCTATTCCCATTAGCGAAATGCACATCCCAGATAAGGTGGCTTCGAGGTTTTGGGAGGTAGTGTGCTATGAGGAAAAAGGTAAGAACTAAAACTAGAAGGAGTTTGCAGAACTGACTTGCTGGCGTCATTTTAAAGGAAAGAAAAAAAAGAACGCTTTGGTAAATATGACTCATTGTAGTGGAAGCTGATATTTGTGGAAGCAGCATACAATTTTCTGAGTTGTTGTAAACCATTAATTATATGGTTAGTAATCACTGTTCCCTCAAAACATGACACTCACTCTTTTGTCCTATAAATGTGATTATTTGTGTTTATTTGGTAGGGCCTTTCTTACCAGTTACAGCCAACTTTGTCGTATTCCACAGGGAGCCAGGCTTTACCAGCAGAGTTCCCTTGGCTCTTGGGGGACCTGGCTGAGATCGCCGCAGGCCTCCCTCAGCCACACCGAAAGCAGTACTCGAGCCTAGGGAGCACACCATGTGCGTGTGAACAGAACCTCAGGAGTTTCCTGCAAACTGAGGGGAACCTCACCCTGGTCACCCCATCTTGATCCTGACCAAGCCAAGATAGCCCATGTGCCGATTACCAGGCTGGAGAGAGGCTGTGACTCACTGTGTCTGTGTTCCTTTCCAGCAACCCACTGAATACTTTGACATGGGCATTTTCCTGGCTTTCTTCGTCGTGGTCTCCTTGGTCTGCCTCATCCTCCTTGTCAAAATCAAGCTGAAGCAGCGACGCAGTCAGGTAGTGCCTCTGTGTGTAGCCCGTGAACAATAACCACTGTTGCCCCAACACTGGGAAAACCAGGACTGTCCTCACCTTATTTTTTGATGGTGCAACATGGAGCCTCATAGCTGTGGACTCTGAGCTCCACAGCCTGTTCCCAGTGGCCTACAAACACCAAAGATAGAAAAAATAAAGAGCAAACTAGGCCAGGCACTGTGGCTCATGCCTGTAATCCCAGAACTTTGGGAGGCCAAGGCAAGCAGATGACTTGAGCTCAGGAGTTTGGTGCTAGCCTGGTCAACATGGCAAAATCCCATCTCTACAAAAATTAGCTGGGCATGGTGGTGTGCATCTGTAGTCCCAGCTACTCGGGAGGCTGAGGTGGGAGGATCACTTGAGCCTGGGGGGCAGAGGTTGCAGTGAGCTATGATCACACCACTGCACTCCAGCCTGGGTGACAGAATGAGACACTGTCTCAAAAATAAAAAAAAAGAAAAACGTACAGCCCAGTGCCTTCTGTGTTCTAAAAGGGCTAGTCATACAAAGGCTGAGCATTGGGAATGTCTCCAGCCAGTGTTTTGAAGGAAGTGTTTCTTTTATTTTTTTATTTTTTAGACAGGATCTCACTCTGTCACCCAGGCTGGAGTGCAATGGCGTAATCTCGGCTCACTGCAAACCTCCACGTCCCAGGTTCAAGTGAGTCTTGTGCCTCAGCCTCCCGAGTAGCTAGGATTACAGGCACCCTGCTAATTTTTGTATTTTTAGTAGAGACAGGGTTTCACCATGTTGGCCTGGCTGGTCTTGAACTCCTGACTTCAGGTGATCCGCCTGCCTCGGCCTCCCAACTGGGATTACAGGTGTGAGCCACCATGCAGAGCCCAAAGGAAGTGTTTAAATCAATGTTAATACGTGTTGTATACACTCCACAGGTCTAGAAAATATGTGTTGTGGCAGTCTGAGTTTTGAGTGCTTTCTCAGAAGTCTATTCCGGCACAGTAGAGGCATGTTTGCCTGTCACAGTGCATCAGTTGGTGCCCTAGAGCCTTCGCCCTCAGATAGCATCTGTGGTCCAGCAGCAACAGCAGCACCTGGAAGCCTCATAGAAATGCAGAGTCTCAGGCCCCGCCCCAGACCCACCCAGTGTACCAGGCTTTCCAGGTGATGCTTGATAAACAGTAGCTGCTATAGCACTGCAGCCACCACATCACTTTGTGCTTGTAGGAAGGAGAGACTCGGGTGGAGGGTGGTGAGAGGGTAAGCAGAGATCTGGACCCTCAAATGTATGGCAGGGTCATGTCTCAGGGGAGAGATGGTGGATCCTGTGGATCCTGACAGGCTGTCTGTAGAGAAGAGAATCACCAAAGTTCTCATGAGGGTTGAGCGACCACTCCCAACATGATGATGGCTTGTTAGCACAGCCTATTTGCCAGGTGCTAAGCACTTACACATTGTCTATTTTCTGTCACCACTTCCTCCAACAGAAAGAGGAGGAACCCTTGGTGTAGAACAGGTTGATAACCCAGGGTCTGGCAGAGTTAGGAGGCAGCAGGTTTAAGTAATTGGTGGAGACCCCTGCCTTCAAATCAGAGAGACTCCTGCTAGTCTTCCCACTTGGGAAAACCCTAGGTTGATGTGGAGGCTCCACAGGTCTGGAGAATGTGTGCTGTGGCAGCCTGAGCTTTGAGTGACTTCCCAGAAGTCTGTTCTGGCATGATAGAGAAGTGAGAAGTGTCTGCCTGACCCATCGAGTATCACGTCCCTGGGGTGAGTGCCACTGTCATACATACGGGACCCTCACACAGACCACATTCTCCTGTGCAGAATTCCATGAACAGGCTGGCTGTGCAGGCCCTAGAGAAGATGGAAACCAGAAAGTTCAACTCTAAGAGCAAGGGGCGCCGGGAAGGGAGCTGCGGGGCCCTGGACACACTCAGCAGCAGCTCCACGTCTGACTGTGCCATCTGCCTGGAGAAGTACATTGACGGAGAGGTAATGGTAGAGGCAGGCCTGTCCTGGGTGGGGAAAACAGGCAGGTCAGCAGAGGTGCCCAAGACCTAGAAAGGACTGGGCCCCATGTCCTGTCACACATATCAACTTTTAGAGTCACTCTTCAGAAAATTCTGAGACTTGACTTGATACTTGACTGGCTGTTTTTACTTACAAAGAGACAAAGGATTTGATATGCCTCACTTTTTTTTCTTGTGGCTTTTTGAGAATTTTAGGTCTAGTACCGTGCCTATAGTCCTAGCTACTTGGGAGGCTGAGGGGAAAGGATCACTTGAGGCTAGGAATTCGAGGCTGCAGTGAGCTACAATTACACCACTTCATGCCGGCCTGGACAACAGAGTGAGACCTTGTCTCTCTTGGAAAGAAAATTTCAGACCTTCAGAAAAGACTAGTACCATAGTTGGTATATGTCACGGGCTTAGAATCACCCATGATTAACATTTTCCTGCATTTGCTCACTCTCCCTCTCCCTAGACAGATGCATACATACACATATTTGGGGGTCAGGGAGCAAACCACTTGAGAATTTCAGACATTTGATGCCCCTTTGCTGAAATTGTTCCACTGCTGCGTAGACTGTTGGATGGAAATGGAGTTTTTGCAGAATAGAATAATCGATTCTTGCATGGACTCGGTTCTTATCCTGGTCTGGGTGGATTCTAGCTTTGTGATCCTGGGCAAGTGACTTCATTTTCTTGTGACATGGGCCCAACACTGACCAGAATTCCAGGTGATCATGAAGTTTCCATGAGAAGATCCAGGTAGACCTTTTGTCATTTTGTCAGGCACAGTGTTAGGTGTGAGCTGGAATATTATTGTGCTGGATGGGTCAGAAAATGGAAAGACAAAGTAACACGAGCAAATTTGGAAGATGCCTAGGCTTAGGAACTCTGGAGGTGGTTCTGTCCCAGTAACCCCATCTCTCTAGATAGGCTGCTTTTCTTATAAACCATGTGCTGCCATGACGAGGTTCAGGATCCAGTAAAGGAAGGGACAGCAGAGCTTTGCCCCTTTGCTGCCCCACCTGTCAATCATGAGTCCCAGGCATCTTCCTTTCTACTCATGCCCATTTGGGGTACCCAGGGTCAGCCAGCACCTCAGAGAGGGAGCATATCTTGGGGTATACCCAGCCCTCTCTCTATACCCCTGGGGCTCCCACCCTCACTAGCACAAGGCCTCGGTCTTCCCTTTGTGGAGGCACGAGGCGACAAGTGTGCATGCCCTCCTCCAACTACAGAAAAGACGCCTGCCTCTGCGTGTTCCCACTCCCTTAACACTGAGGACTGTGGCTGGGGCTGGCTGCTGGCAGTTTCCTTCTCCCTAGAACACATGGGTGGGCCCTGCCTCTAGGGAATTGAGCTGATCCCTAGCTGGAGGTGGGGAGGAGAGTTGGGAAGGGCACTGGCATGGTGTGCTGAGCTCTGCAGGAGGATACACCTGTGAGGCTGAAGGCAGACCTGTGTCCCCTCTCTTCTTGCCCAGGAGCTGCGGGTCATCCCCTGTACTCACCGGTTTCATAGGAAGTGCGTGGACCCCTGGCTGCTGCAGCACCACACCTGCCCCCACTGTCGGCACAACATCATAGGTAACTGTCACCTGCCTCAGCCACTGCTGAAGAGTCAAGTGAGAGGACACTTTCCCTATGAAGTGCCTAGCTAGAGTGTGACACACACTGCAGGCTTGGAAGTGAGCAGAGCCACCACAGCTCTGCCCTCTGGACTTGGAGGCCTGGCAGCCTTGAGTTTTGGAGGTTGACTGCACAACCCTTAGGAGACCCTGGCATTAAGAATTGCCCTGAGTTCAAGTTTGGGCTTCATGTTAAGCAGCTTCCTGACCTTGGGCAAGACATCTGGCCTCTCCCTGAGGCCCCTCATCTCTTTAGTGGCAATGACAGTAATGGTGTTTGCCCACACCCCGTACTACGGGGGTGTTCCTAGGACCACAGAGATGATGAGTGTGCAGTGGCTGGCTTGTGCTGTTGCTCCTGCATCACTGTATCATTAAATGGGGATGGAGGAACACTGGCATCTGGGAATCCGATTCTTCTCTGCAGACTCTTGTGGTGCCCTGTCAGGCAGAGCAGTGGGGAGGTGAGAACGGGGCCCTTACAGGAAATGGGCCATTTCACACAGAGAGGCAGGTCAACCCGGGCTGCTGCAGCTGAGTTTGGGGGCAGGATTGTGAGAATGGGTACCTCGTTAGGTGACCAACCCTGCTGCAGCCTTTGCCCATTTTAAAAATCCCTCTAGCCCTTGACACCAGTATGCTCAGCCCTGCCTACTCTGTTTCCTCCACCTGTCCCCAGAACAAAAGGGAAACCCAGGCGCGGTGTGTGTGGAGACCAGCAACCTCTCACGTGGTCGGCAGCCGAGGGTGACCCTGCCCGTGCATTACCCCGGCCGCGTGCACAGGACCAACGCCATCCCAGCCTACCCTACGAGGACAAGCATGGACTCCCACGGGAACCCCGTCACCTTGCTGACCGTCGACCGGCACGGGGAGCAGAGCCTCTTTTCCCCTCAGACCCCCGCCTACGTCCGCAGCTACCCACCCCTCCACCTGGACCACAGCCTGGCCGCTCACCGCTGCGGCCTGGAGCACCGGGCCTACTCCCCAGCCCACCCCTTCCGCAGGCCCAAGTTGAGCGGCCGCAGCTTCTCCAAGGCAGCTTGCTTCTCCCAGTACGAGACCATGTACCAGCACTACTACTTCCAGGGCCTCAGCTACCCGGAGCAAGAGGGGCAGCCCCCGCCTAGCCTCGCGCCCCGGGGTCCGGCACGTGCCTTTCCTCCGAGTGGCAGCGGCAGCCTGCTGTTCCCCACTGTAGTGCACGTGGCCCCGCCCTCCCACCTGGAGAGCGGTAGCACGTCCAGCTTCAGCTGCTATCACGGCCACCGCTCGGTGTGCAGTGGCTACCTGGCCGACTGCCCGGGCAGCGACAGCAGCAGCAGCAGCAGCTCCGGTCAGTGCCACTGTTCCTCCAGTGACTCTGTGGTAGACTGCACTGAGGTCAGCAACCAGGGCGTGTACGGGAGCTGCTCCACCTTCCGCAGCTCCCTCAGCAGCGACTATGATCCCTTCATCTACCGCAGCCGGAGCCCCTGTCGCGCCAGTGAGGCAGGGGGCTCAGGCCTGGGGCCGGCACTGTGCTTCGAGGGCTCCCCACCACCCGAGGAGCTCCCTGCGGTGCACAGTCATGGTGCTGGGCGGGGCGAGCCTTGGCCAGGCCCTGCCTCTCCTTCTGGGGATCAGGTGTCCACGTGCAGCCTGGAGATGAACTACAGCAGCAACACCTCCCTGGAGCACAGGGGGCCCAATAGCTCTACCTCAGAAGTGGGGCTCGAGGCTTCTCCTGTGGCCCCCCCGGACGTCAGGAGGACCTGGAAGGGGGGCCACGAGGGGCCATCGTGTGCCTGCTGCAGCGAACCCCAGCCCTCCCCACCTGGGCCTAGCGCCGGAGCAGCTGGCAACAGCACCTTGTTCCCGGGGCCCCACCTCTTAGAGGGCTCTGGCCCCTCCGGTGGGGAGCCCCAGCCAGGAAGCTCCCAGGGCCTGTACGGCCTTCATCCCGACCATTTGCCCAGGACAGATGGGGTGAAATATGAGGGCCTGCCCTGCTGCTTCTATGAAGAGAAGCAGGTGGCCCGTCGAGGCGGAGGGGGCAGCGGCTGCTACACTGAGGACTACTCGGTGAGCGTGCAGTACACGCTCACCGAGGAGCCCCCGCCCGGCTGCCACATGGGGGCCCAGGACCTGAGCCAGCGCATCCCCATTATTCCAGAGGATGTGGACTGTGACCTGGGCCTGCCCTCGGACTGCCAAGGGACCCGCAGCCTCGGCTCCTGGGGTGGGACACGGGGCCCAGACGCCCCACGGCCCCATAGAGGCCTGGGAGCAACCCGGGAAGAGGAGCAGGCTCTGTGCTGCCAGGCTAGGGCCCTGCTGCGGCCTAGCTGCCCTCTGGAGGAGGCGGGTGCTGCCAGGGCCAGCCTCCCCAGTGCCCTCCAGGACACTCAGGAGTCGAGCACCACGGCCACTGAGGCTGCAGGTGAGAGAGCAGAAAATGGCAGTACGCCAGAGCAGGAGTTTCCATCATGGTCATCTTCTCTCTTAGGCATTTTCTGAATGACTTCCTTTGTGCCCTTGGCTTTAAACACCATCTGAGGCTGAAGACTTCCAAGGGTTACTTCTCAGCCTGGCCCTCCCTCAGAGTTCAGACCCATTGAGCCCTCTGCTTGCATGATCTCGGGATCTCTCCCCCAAGATGCCTCCAGCTGGTCACGTCCACAGCAGTGCTCTCATTCCTTTCTCTGCCCTGCTCCCCACCCATATGCTCACACCAAAAACCTAGCACCAGTTGGGCGTAGTGGCTTGTGCCTGTAATCCTAACATTTTCGGAGGCTGAAGCAGTGGACCACTTGAGGCCATGGGTTGGAGACCAGCCTGGCCAACATGGCGAAACCCCTTCTCTACAAAAAAAATACAAAAATGAGCCAAATGTGGCAGGCGCCTGTAGTCCCAGCTACTCAGGAGGCTGAGGCAGCAGAATCGCTTGAACCTGGGAGGTGGAGGTTGCAGTGAGCCGAGATTGCACCACTGCACTCCAGCTTGGGCAAAAGAGTGAGACTCCATCTAAAAAAAAGAACTAGGCCCTGTCTTTGTGCCCACCCTGCCCCTTGCACTCCTGCCTCCTGGGCTTCTCAACCTGTCTGTGAAGGACCCCAGTTGCCTGTTTTTGCCTCAGTCCATGAAAATGAATTCCCAGAAAATGAAACTTAGCAAAAGACATGCAAGATACAAGTCCAGATTTTTATTGTTAGATTCAGCAGACATCAGATTGCTACAAGATTTCCAAACATGCTGCCTCAGTAATAAACTGTGTAGTCTAGCACCTCTGAATAGCACTGCAACAAGATCTGCCTGCAAAGTACATCCCAAATGTATCTACCTCTCTGCACCCCCACTGCTGTCGCCTCAGTCCAGCCCCATTTTCTTCTCTTCAGGGCAGAGGCAGTATAGCCTCTGACTGGTCTGCCGTCACTGGTCTTGCCTTCTATTCCACTTGGAGCCAGAGTGGACTTTAGTGAAACATAAGTTGATGTCTTTGTGCTAGAAAACCCTTCAGTGACTTGCCATTACCTTTAAAATCTTAAAAAATGTTAACTCCTGGCCTAGTGCTTTGGAAGGCCAAGGCAGGAGGATCACTTGAGGCCAGAAGTTGGAGACCAGCTTGGGGAACGTAGAACGAACCTATCTTAAAAAAAAAAAAAAAAGGCATTGTGACACATGCCATTAGTCCCAGCTACTCAGAAGGCTGAGCGCAAGAGATTGAGGCCATAGTTATGATCTCACCACTGTACTCCAGCCTAGGCAACACAGCAAGACCCTGTCTCAAAAATAATAATAAATGTTAGCATCTCACCCAGTTCTGTGTGATCCAGCCCCTGCCAACCCATCTGATGAGCTCCTTGTTCACTCTCCTTGCTTGCTGCTTTCACCCCCTGTGACCTTTGTCCCATTCTCCCCATGTGCCAAGCTCATTCCAGCCCCCAGACCTCTCCACTACTTTTCTTCTCCAGATCTTAGCTTAAGCAACACTCCAGCTCCCTCTGAGAGCACCTGCATATGGTATCTCTGTTCATTTTCTGTCATCCTATTGCTAAATTACTTTGTCTCAAGGTCTGTAAGCTCTGTGAGGGGGTTCTCCTCCTTTTCCCAGGGCATGACACATCCTGGGCACCTAGTTAACATCACTAATATATTGGATTTTCATGCTACCTAAAGGCTTCTAGAAAGCTGTCTACATCCAAAAGAGAGGCTGGCTTTCCAGAAGTCACCTGTGCTCAGCAAAGACGGAGCCCCTCTGGGAAGAGGAGCCTGCTTCAGCCCTTGAGCGTACACAGGCCTGCCACACACTGCAGATAGGGCCACCTGAGTCCCTTGTCTGGTCCCATGTGTGGTGCCAGCTCCCTCCCCTGATGATTGTTCTCTCTCTTTCCCAGGACTGAGATCTCGCTCAGCAGACAGCAGCAGCACAGGAGCCTGAGTTCAGAAGGAGCTCTTACCTGGAAATTGGAAACTGTATGGAGACTCCAAACTGACTTCCTTCAAAAAACATAAACAAAAAAATTTTTTAGCTTTGACAAACACACAAAAGTGGTAATAAAGAGAGCCCTCCTTCTCAACCCAAAATGTGAGCCCCCTGTGGCAAAACCACCCCCTAGCCCATTAACAAATCAACAGACAAAATTCTCCGAGTCCTTTGCCTCTTTTGATAACATGTTCTGTTTTGTAAAGTGTGTGTGCTTGGGGTTCCGAGGTGTGGGATTGAGTTCTGTTTTTGTTTTTGTTTTTAAGATATTGTATGTAAATGTAAAAAGTTATTTAAATATATATTTTAAAGAACCCTAACCACCAACTTTTGCTGAAAAAAAAAAATCACTGCTGCATTAAATGAACCACATCATGTGTAGATACTGTTGTCTCCCTGGAGGGAGCTCAGGCCTTTGAAAAGCTCAGGGCTTCACCTGCCTTAGAAAATGAACCAGAAACTTGAAGTAAAGCTAGTTGATATGGGTACAGGCTCTGAGGAGCAGTACAAAGCTGCCTCTTTCTTTCTCGTGTCAATCCCAGTGTACACGATGTCAGGTCCCCAACGCCATGCCTCTCCAGCCCACGCCTATAGGTAGGTGATGGAAGCAGCTAAGGAAAAGGGTGTACAAGAGCCGCAGCCCTGCAGAGCCTGGCCAAGCCGCTGCTACAAAAGTGATGGGGACGATTCTGCCCAGTGTCCTCAATCTGTCCCCTCGGGTCATGGTCCCAAGTGAAACAACAGAGTTCACATCCCATGGTAAGGGCATGTTCTTGGGGCCCTCGATCTGAACTCTGATCTCAGGGCAGGGAAGAGGAGGCTGTCCCCCTTGGTTGTCCTGATGGAGTCCTTTGCAAAAATATTTTGGGCTCCCTGCCACTGGCTGCAGAAATGGCTTGACAGGGTGTGTGGGGGCAGACACCCAGAAGGAATGTACTTTTGTGGCCTTGGTGTCCAATGGGGCTGGGGGAGGAGAGTGCTCTCCACTGACCCAGCAGCACACCAATGTGCAGTGCGCATGCGCCTCCCACACCCCTCGGCTGCTGCTTCCTTGGGCTGCCTTTCTGGGGGCATGTGCCCAGACCCAGGAGGTCTGCACTGAGCTCCATTTGAATGATACCTTTCCTATCCCATTTCCCCACGGAAGCACTGCTTCAGGGTTATTCAGTCTTCTGCCTAATGGCTGAAATTGCTCATCTCGCTTGCAGATGTCTACTATCCTATCTACCTAATGCACTGGTTAAATATTGATTCTCCATGAGACAGAGAGAGAGACTATCAGATAGTTCACATCCAAAGGGTGGGTTTTTGTATATTTTTCCAGCCTTTTTTATTAAGGGGAAGGGGAGAGTTAAAAAACCCAAACCGCTGTGGTTTTAAGGTGTTTCATTTTTAAAAGGGAGAGAGAATCTATTTAAAGCTATTTCAGATCAGGGATTGTCATCCTTTTTTGTCCAATGTATTCCTTGTTCTTTAAAAACTAATTTTTTTATATAGGAAATTAATGATATTAGCCCTTGTGTTCACTAACTCTTCTGGTCACTTGTATTTGTTCATTCATTCATCAGATGTGTTGCCATCTGAAAGAATTGGCTCATTGGGTTTGCAAGCTCACTTGTGGAATAGGAAACTTGGGGCCTGGCGCCCTGTGGGTAGGAGGACAGGGACCACCTGGGTTGCCAGGTGATGGTGCTGGTGCTTCCTCAGTCAGTTTCACAGGAAGTCAGCTCAGAATGTTTTGAACGAAAATCTCGCTCTTATCAAAATATATTTTTCTTAAAAACCTCAGCGTATGATGAGGAAATTTACTTATCTCTAGTTAGGATTTGACAGAAATTCCAACATAAAATGATCAAACCATTTGCCATCGAGGGACTGACTGGTGAGATCTGTCCTTCAGCCTCTGGGGTACAGTCCCTTGGGGGGCTGCTTCTCAGACTGTAGCCCGCACACCTGTTGCCAAGGGTGTGAGAAGTGCCTAAGCTGGTGACATGTGATCTGGGACGCCTTTATTTCTTGGGCCAGGAGTAGCAGCTGCTAAGGACAACAGCTTGCATTACATGGTTTTAGGGAAGCGAGGTCTGGGTTTTAATATGAACTGCAAAAAGCAGCTTCTCATTGAGATTTTTGTTGTTGTTTGTGGGGTTTTGTGTTTTGTTTTGTTTTGTTTTTAATGCCTTTGCATATTGTCTTCCTCATCTGAAACCGAACTCCCAAAGTGGCTTTCTTTAGCCCTGGCTGGAAAACCACTCCTCAATAGCCTTAAGCAATAAATAGATGAGTGGAGAATGTGGCTTCCACTGGGCTTATTAAAATAAGTGTGTCAAGTTTTCTTTCTTTCTTTTTTTTT